AAAAAAAAAAAAAAAAAAAAAAAGGCTCGGCAAGAGAGGGGTCAACAGTACTGGTGCTTTAACACCCCGTTTCTTTATCCCCCATTTTTTTTTCCTTAGGCTACCTTTGACTACGATGTCTTCGAGCAACCCAAGCATCGGACCAATGAAAAAAACAACACAAAACAAAACAAAAAAATGTCTCTTGGCCTCTCAGCAAGTCTCCAGATTGTTTGGAAGGCAGACGAAGCAAAAGTAGGAAAGATACCCACTGGCCTAGCTCAGTAGGTACACCCACCCCGTTAGTTGTTGAAATACAGACTCGAGTTCAAATCCAGTCCAGATACCTTCAGATGACAAGAATAAGATCGTTCTGAATTGCCTGCGGCTGGTCAGTTCAATGATGATATCTAAACCCCATCGCCCTGTCTCCAGATTAAGGGGGGAAGGGAAGAAGGGGGGGGAGGAGAGTATGAAAGGACAGCAATGAGACATGGCAAGGACAGCAATAAGACATCTCTCTCTGACAGGCAGAGATGAGGAGATCATGATTGCTGACCCGCACCGTGTCAGAGACATCTCTGTCCCGTCAGAGAGAGATGTCTCATTGCTGTCCTTGCCATGTCTCTGACAGGCAGAGATGAGGAGGGGCCAGGTCCCACTAGCAGCGTTGAGTTTCTTCAACACCCGAATCTGGACATGTCTGTGGATATGTGCAGAAATCGCATTGATTTTTCTCAACCGCACATCTCCATGAAAACGTCCAGATTCGGGCAGTAGGAAACTCAACGCTGCCAATGGGACCTGGCCCGAGATCATGATTGCTGACCCCCACCATGTCAGAGACATCTCTGTCCCGCACCATGTCAGAGACATCTCTGTCCCCGCACCATGTCAGAGACATCTCTGTCCCCGCTCCATGTCAGAGACATCTCCGACATGGCAAGGACAGCAATGAGACATGTCTGACCCTGGCTGAGGACAGAGATGACATGTCAGCCAAAACGAACAATTGCCGCGATGGCACGAAACTGGGCAAGCCACATGAGATAGGAGACCACTTTGAAGTTTGAAGCCACCAGTACTTGGCCCAGCTATCACGATTGATGCCGAGCCTCAAAGCACCTTGAGTGCCAAGTTTTCACGAACTGCCAGGCGGCAGGTTTTGTTTTCGTTTGGCTGGCGCCTCCAGCCATCGAGGTCCGGTAGCCCGAAGACCTGAACGCGCGGCGCATCAACGTGGAAGGCCGGCAGCCGATGGCTGGGCCAAGTACTGGGTCGCAGCAGAAGAAAAGGACCCTGGGGCCAGAGAGCATACCCAGCCCATGTGGGTGAATGGGACACACATGTGAACAGGTCATGAGCTCGAAGACCGTAGGACACAGAGTGTGTTCTCTCACACCGGTGCACACTCGGGTCATGACCTGGAAGACCGTAGGACACAGAGTAGTTCTCTCACACCAATGCACACTCGGGTCATGACCTGGAAGCGGCAATGGCCAAGTGGTTCTTTAACTTGAAGAGTTACTGCTAGGATCCTGAACAATGAGATTCAGTGGATTTTATTATTATTATTATTATTATTTATTATTATTATTTTGTTATTATTATTATTATTATTATTATTATTATTGGCCAGAATTGCAGCCCAGAAACAAGCTGCACCTGAACTAACAACAACAACAACAACAACAACAACAACAACAACAGTGACGAAAGAAATCATAAACCAGCATATAACTATCAATGTCAAGAGACACTGGACCCGTTTTCGAGCAGGTGCAGCTCCAGCTCCCCACCAATGGAACGGAGCCATCACGATGCGGAATGGGAGGGGTATCTGATCCTATCAGCACCCCCAACATACCCGCAGCGGACGTTGGACAAAAAAAAAAAGAAAAAAAAAAAAAAAAAAAAAGAAGAATGAATGGCTCAGAAACAACCTGCCTTTGATCATCTGACCAACCTCGCTGACATTTTTCTCAATCCCTGTTGCATGACAATGAAGGTGACTACCTTCTTCACCCGAATACACATACAGTCATTATAGCCATATTTGCGGTATATCTCTGTCTAAATACATCAACACAACTGAGTACGTTGTATTCCGGTGAAGAAGGTACTGTTTTTTCACCCGAATAGAACGGCCACTCATTATAGCTGCTGCACCTGGGCCACCTTCCAGTCCAGATGCAGCGATAACGACAAAGGCATTCTATCCGGGCCAAGACCGTAACCCTCCACCACAGGGAACTACAATAAGCTGCAACAGTAAGAATGAAGTCCACACTTTACCACAACTGAAAAAAAAAAAAAAAAGTCCACACTTTACCACAACTGATGAGAATTGGCCACCCTTCTTTTTGCTTTTTCTGTTGCGGACCCCCTCCCCCCCCC